CGTCCACCACGTCCACGACCACGTCCACGTCCACCTCCACGTCCACGACCACGTCCACGCCACGACCACGTCCACGTCCACGATCACGTCCACGTCCACAACCACGTCCACGTCCACGTCCACGTCCACGTCCGCGTCCACGTCCACTTCCGCGTCCACGTTCACGACCACGTCCACGTCCACGTCCACTACGTCCATGACCACGTCCACCTCCACGACCACGTCCACCTCCACGTCCACGTTCACGTCCACGTCCACGTCCAAGTCCACGTCCACGTCCACGACCACGTCCACGTCCACGTCCACGTCCACCACGTCCACCACGTCCATGACCACGTCCACATCCACGTCCACGTCCACGACCACGTCCACGTCCACAACGTCCACGTCCATGTCCACGTCCACGACCACCTCCACGTCCTCGACGTCCACGTCCACGTCCTCGACGTCCACGACCACGTCCACGTCCACGTCCATGTCCACGTCCAAGTCCACGACCACCTCCACGTCCTCCACGTCCACGACCACGTCCACGTCGTCCACGACCACCTCCACGGCCACGACCATGTCCACGTCCACGTCCACGACCACGTCCAGGTCCACGTCCACGTCCAGGTCCATGACCACGTCCACGTCCACGTCCACGACCACGTCCACGTCCAAGGCCACGTCCACGTCCACGTCCACGTCCTTCACGTCCACGTCCACGTCCTCCACGTCCACGTCCACGTCCATGTCCACCACGTCCACGACCACGTCCACGTCCACGTCCACGTCCACGACCACGTCCACGTGTCAAAATTATATTTATTATAACTGCATGTAGTTCTAGCAGTAGTGTAGTTATTTAAACTTTGTATTGGTGGTGCACCTTATGTGTTTCCTTTGCTATATGTACTTCAAAACTATAGTGAAGCTCCACATTCTCCCAACTTTTTCTCAACTCACTCGAACTCCTACCTAGGCACAAAACCGCTCGACACCTTAAGCTCGGGCCTAGGCTACTAAGCCTAGGCCCCACCTTTCTACCTCTCAACTTACCCATTCTTATTACTCTCGACATGTTATCGGAGCTGAGTTCGTCCTGGCCTGTGGGCCCGCTTTACACTTCCGCTGCTAATATTTTCCGGTCGCGCGCCTAGGGCGCGTGACGATTTTATTTTTTACCTTGTCCCGCCCACGGGCGTGTGACTCCTTCCCTGCCCGTCGCGCGCCCCGTGGCACGTGACGGTGCCCTTCAACTGCCCATCGTGCGCCCCGTGGCACACGATGGTGCCCTGCTCGTCGTGTGCCCCGAGGCACACGATCGGGCCCTTATATTCTACCCGTCGTGCGCCCCGTGGCACTGGCCCGCGACGGGCCTTCTTTCCGCCCCTGCACTCCCTGAAGCCGCCCCTGACCCATCTGCACCGACACCTCTTCGCCGCTCTGCGGCTTTCTTCCTTCCCACCCCCCTTCTTCCTTTGCCTCCCTGCAGCCGTGGGGAGGAGGGTATGGGGGTGGAGGGTGTTGGAGTGTGGCGTCACCTCTCTCCCTTCCCCTCCTCCTTCTTTCAGTCCCACCGCTGCAGCTGCCGCTGGGGGAGGAGGGTGTGAGGATGTGGGGGAGCAGGGGGAGTGGTATCGGGGTGGCGGGTGTGAGGCAACAAGCAGCCGTCCCTCCACCTCTCCTCTCTTCCCCCTTTCTCTGCTGCTTCTGCAGCAGTGTGGGGGAGGGGAAGGGGGAGGGTGAGGAGATGGAGGGGGTGTACCTGCTGTTGCTTGTTTTATTGTTCGTTGGTGTACCTCTGCAGGTTGTGCTCTGCACTTAGCTATTCCTGCATGCAGTTACGGGGGGATGTCAAAATTATATTTATTATAACTGCATGTAGTTCTAGCAGTAGTGTAGTTATTTAAACTTTGTATTGGTGGTGCACCTTATGTGTTTCCTTTGCTATATGTACTTCAAAACTATAGTGAAGCTCCACATTCTCCCAACTTTTTCTCAACTCACTCGAACTCCTACCTAGGCACAAAACCGCTCGACACCTAAAGCTCGGGCCTAGGCTACTAAGCCTAGGCCCCACCTTTCTACCTCTCAACTTACCCATTCTTATTACTCTCGACACCACGTCCACGTCCACGTCCATGTCTACCTCCACGTCCACGACCACGTCCACGACCACGACCACGTCCACGACCACGTCCACGTCCACGACCACGACCACGTCCACGTCCACGTCCACGTCCACGACCACGTCCACGTCCACCACGTCTACCACGTCGACGACCACGTCCACGTCCACGTCCACGTCCACGACCACGTCCACGTCCACCACGTCCACCACGTCCACGTCCACCACGTCTACCACGTCCACGACCACGTCCAGGACCACGTCCACGTCCACTTCCACGTCCACGTCCACGTCCACGTCCACCACGTCCACCACGTCCACGACGACGTCCACGTCCACCTCCACGTCCACGACCACGTCCACGCCACGTCCACGTCCACGACCACGTCCACGTCCACGACCACGTCACGTCCACGTCCACGTCCACGTCCACATCCACTTCCGCGTCCGCGTCCACGTCCGCGTCCACCTCCACTTCCGCGTCCACGTCCACGACCACGTCCACGTCCACGTCAAGGACCACGTCCACGTCCACGTCCACAACCACGTCCACGTCCACGACCACGTCCAAGTCCACGACCACGTCCACGTCCACGTCCACGTCCACGTCCACGACCACGTCCACGACCACGTCCACGTCCACGACCACGTCCACGTCCACGACCACGTCCACGTCCACGTCCACGTCCACGTCCACGTCCACGACCACGTCCACGACCACGTCCACGTCCACGACCACCTCCTTGTCCACGTCCACGTCCACGTCCACGACCACGTCCACGTCCACGTCCACGTCCACGACCACGTCCACGTCCAAGTCCACGTCCACGTCCACGTCCACGACCACGTCCTGGTCCACGTCCACGTCCACGACCACGTCCACGACCACGTCCACGACCACGTCCACGACCACGTCCACGTCACGACCACGTCCACGACCACGTCCCGGCCACGTCCAGTCCACGTCCACGACCAAGTCCACGTCGCCTATCTCTATGGGCGCCTATCTCTATGGGCGCCTATCTCTAGGGGCACCTCTCTCTAGGGGTGCCTATCTATAGGGGCGCCTATCTATATAGGCGCCTATCTCTAGGGGCGCCTATCTATATAGGCGCCTATCTATAGGAGCGCCTATCTATAGGGGCTCCTATCTCTATGGGCTCCTATCTGTAGGGGCACTTATCTCTAGGGGCGCCTATCCCTAGAGGTAGGCGCCCATAGAGATAGGCGCCTATAGAGATAGGCGCCCCTAGAGATAGGCGCCCTTAGAGATAGGCGCCCCTAGAGATAGGCGCCCCTGGAGATAGGCGCCCCTAGAGATCGGCGCCCATAGAGATAAGCGCCCCTAGAGATAGGGGCCCATAGAGATAGGCGCCCCTAGAAATAGGCGCCCCTACAGATAGGCGCCCCTAAAGATAAGCGCCCCTAGAGATAGGCGCTTATAGAGATAAGAGCCCCTAGAGATAGGCGCCTCTATAGATAGGCGCCCCTAGAGATAGACGCCCCTATAGATAGGCGCCCCTGGAGATAGGTGCCCCTAGAAATAGGCGCCCATAGAGATAGGTGCCCATGGAGATAGGCACCCTTAGAGCTAGGCGCCCCTAGAGATAGGTGCCCATAGAGATAGGCGCCCCTAGAGAGAGGCGCCCATAGAGATAGGCGCCCATAGACATAGGCGCCCATAGAGATAGACGCCCATAGAGATATGCGCCCCTAGAGATAGGCGCCCCTAGAGATAGGCGCACCTAGAGATAGGCGCCCCTAGAGATAGGCGCCAACAGAGGTAGGCGCCCATAGAGGTAGGCGCCGCTAGAGATAGGCGCCCCTAGAGATAGGCGCCCCTTGAGATAGGCGCCCCTAGAGATAGGCGCCCATAGAGATAGGCGCCCCTAGAGATAGGTGCCCATAGAGATAGGCACCCTTAGAGCTAGACGCCCCTAGAGATAGGTGCCCATAGAGATAGGCGCCCCTAGAGAGAGGCGCCCATAGAGATAGGCGCCCATAGACATAGGCGCCCATAGAGATAGACGCCCATAGAGATATGCGCCCCTAGAGATAGGCGCCCCTAGAGATAGGCGCACCTAGAGATAGGCGCCCCTAGAGATAGGCGCCAACAGAGGTAGGCGCCCATAGAGGTAGGCGCCGCTAGAGATAGGCGCCCCTAGAGATAGGCGCCCCTTGAGATAGGCGCCTATTTCTATGGGAACCTATCTCTAAGGGCGCCTATTTCTATAGGAACCTATCTCTAGGGGCGCCTATCTCTATGGGCGCCTATCTCTGTGGGCGCCAATCTCTAGGGGTGCCTATCTCTTGGGGCGCCTATCTCTAGCAACGCTCACCTCTATGGTCGCTTACCTCTTTGGGCGCCTATCTCTATGGGCGCCTATCTCTATGGGCACCTATCTCTAGGGGCGCCTATCTCTATGGGCGCCTATCTCTATGGGCGCCTATCTCTAGGGGCGCCTATTTCTATGGGAACCTATCTCTAGGGGCGCCTATCTCAATGGGCGCCTATCTCTGTGGGCGCCAATCTCTAGGGGCGCCTACCTCTAGGGGCGCCTATCTCTAGCGGCGCTTACCTCTATGGTCGCTTACCTTTTTGGGCGCCTATCTCTATGGGCGCCTATCTCTATGTGCACCTATCTCTAGGGGCGCCTATCTCTATGGGCGCCTATCTCTATGGGCGCCTATCTCTAGGGGCGCCTATTTCTATGGGCACCTATCCCTAGGGGCGCCTATCTCTATGGGCGCCTATCTCTATGGGTGCCTATCTCTAGGGGCACCTATCTTTAGGGGCGCCTATCTCTAGGGGCGCCTATCTCTATGGGCGCCTATCTCTAGGGGCGCCTATCTCTAGCGGCGCTTACCTCTATGGTCGCTTACCTCTATGGGCGCCTATCTCTATGGGCGCCTATCTCTAGGGGCCCCTATTCGTAGGGACGCCTATCTCTAGGGGCGCCTATCTCTATGGGCGCCCATCTCTAGGGGCGCCTATCTCTATGGGCGCCTATCTCTATGGGCGCCTATCTCTATGGGCGCCTATCTCTATGGGCGGCTATCTCTAGGGGCGCCTATCTCTATGGGCGCCTATCTTTAGCGCGCCAATCTCTATGGGCGCCTATCTCTAGGGGCGCCTATTTCTAGTGGCGCCTATCTCTAGTGGCGCCTAGAGATAGGCGCCCATAGAGATAGGCGCCCATAGAGATAGGCGCCCCTAGAGATAGGCGCCCATAGAGATAGGCGCCCCTAGAGATAGGCGCCCCTAGAGATAGGCGGCCCTAGAGATAGGGGCCCCCAGAGATAAGCGCCCCTAGAGATAGGCGCCCATAGGGATAGGCGTCCCTAGAGATAGGCGCCCATAGAGATAGGCGCCCCTAGAGATAGGAGCCCATAGAGATAGGCGCCCCTAGAGATAGGCGCCCCTAGAGATAGGCGCACCTAGAGATTGGCGCCACTAGAGATAGGCGCCCCTAGAGAGAGGCGCCCCTAGGGATAGGCGCCCATAGAGATTGGCGCCGCTAAAGATAGGCGCCCATAGAGATAGGCACCCCTAGAGATAGGCGCCCGTAGAGATAGGCGCCCATAGAGATAGGGCCCCCTAGAGACAGGCGCCCCTAGAGATAGGCGCCCATAGAGGTAGGCGCCCAAAGAGATAGGCGCCCATAGAGATAGGCGCCCCTAGAGATAGGCGCCCCTAGAGATAGGCACCATTAGAGATAGGCGTCCCTAGAGATAGGCGCCGTTGGAGATAGGCGCCTTGGAGATAGGCGCCCCTAGAGGTAGGCGCCCCTAGAGATAGGCGCCCCTAGAGATAGGTGGCGCTAGAGATAGGCGCCCCTAGGGATGGGCGCCTCTAGAGATTGGCGCCCCTAAAGAGAGGCGCCCATAGAGATAAGCGCCCCAAGAGATAGGCGCCCATAGAGATAGGCGACGTGGACGTGGTCGTGGACGTGGACGTGGACGTGGTCGTGGACGTGGTCGTGGACGTGGTCGTGGACGTGGACGTGGACGTGGACGTGGACATGGACCTGGACGTGGACCTGGACGTGGACCTGGACGTGGACGTGGACGTGGTCGTGGACGTGGACCTGGACGTGGACCTGGACGTGGACGTGGACATGGACCCGTGGGCGTGGACGTGGACGTGGAGGTGGACGTGGGCGTGGACCTGGTCGTGGACGTGGACGTGGACGTGAACGTGGACGTGGTCATGGACGTGGACGTGGACATGGACGTGGACATGGACGTGGACGTGGACGTGGTCGTGGACGTGAACGTGGATGTGGAGGACGTGGACGTGGACATGGAGGACGTGGACGTGGACGTGGAGGACGTGGACGTGGACGTGGTCGTGGACGTGGTCGTGGACGTGCACGTGGACGTGGACGTGGACGTGGACGAGGCCTTGGAGGATGTACGTGGACGTGGACGAGGACTTGGAGGATGTACGTGGACGTGGAGGACGTGGACGTGGACGTGGACGTGGACGTGGAGGACGTGGACGTGGACAAGGACTTGGAGGATGTATGTGGACTTGGAGGACGTGGAAGTGGACGTGGACGTGAACGTGGACGTGGACGTGGACCTGGACGTGGACGTGGAGGACGTGGACGTGGACGTGGAGGACGTGGACGTGGACGTGGTCGTGGACGTGTACGTGGACGTGGACGTGGACGTGGACGTGGAGGACGTGGACGTGGACGTGGTCGTGGACGTGGCCGTGGACGTGGCCGTGGACGCGGACGCGGACGCGGAGGTGGACGCGGACGCGGACGCGGAGGCGGACGCGGACGCGGACGTGGCCGTGGCCGTGGACGTGGCCGAGGACGTGGCCGTGGCCGTGGACGTGGACGTGGACGTGGCCGTGGCCGTGGACGTGGACGTGGCCGTGGACGTGGCCGTGGCCGTGGACGTGGACGTGGCCGTGGCCGTGGACGTGGCCGTGGCCGTGGCCGTGGACGTGGACTGGACGTGGACGTGGACGTGGACGTGGTCGTGGACGTGGACGTGGACGTGGACGTGGACGTGAACCGGGTCGTGGACGTGGACGTGGACGTGGACGTGGTCGTGGACGTGGTCGTGGACGTGGACGTGGACGTGGACGTGGACGTGGTCGTGGACGTGGACGTGGACGTGGAGGTGGACGTGGACGTGGAGGTGGACGTGGACGTGGACGTGGACGTGGAGGTGGACGTGGACGTTGAGGTGGACGTGGACGTGGACGTGGACGTGGACGTGGACGTGGACGTGGACGTGGACGTGTGGGTGGACGTGGACGTGGACTTGGACGTGGACATGGACATGGACATGGGTGGACGTGGACGTGGACTTGGACGTGGACGTGGACGTGGACGTGGACGTGGACGTGGTCGTGGACGTGGTCGTGGTCGTGGACGTGGACGTGGTCGTGGACGTGGACGTGGACGTGGACGTGGACGTGGACGTGGACGTGGACGTGGACCTGGACGTGGACGTGGACGTGGACGTGGAGGTGGACGTGGAGGTGGACGTGGACGTGGACGTGGACGTGGACGTGGACGTGGCCGTGGCCGTGGACGTGGACGTGGACGTGGAGGACGTGGACGTGGACGTGGTCGTGGACGTGGAGGACGTGGACGTGGACGTGGAGGACGTGGACGTGGACGTGGAGGACGTGGACGTGGACGTGGAGGACGTGGACGTGGACGTGGTCGTGGACGTGGTCGTGGACGTGGACGTGGACGCGGACGTGGACGCGGACGGGGACGCGGAGGTTGACGCGGACGCGGACGCGAAGGTGGACGCGGACGCGGACGCGGAGGTGGACGCGGACGCGGACGCGGACGCGGACGCGGAGGTGGACGCGGCCGTGGCCGTGGACGTGGCCGTGGACGCGGACGCGGACGCGGAGGTGGACGCGGACGCGGACGCGGAGGCGGACGCGGACGCGGAGGTGGACGTGGCCGTGGCCGTGGACGTGGCCGTGGCCGAGGACGTGGCCGTGGCCGTGGACGTGGACGTGGCCGTGGCCGTGGACGTGGACGTGGCCGTGGACGTGGCCGTGGACGTGGGCGTGGCCGTGGACGTGGACGTGGCCGTGGCCGTGGACGTGGCCGTGGCCGTGGCCGTGGACGTGGACGTGGACGTGGACGTGGACGTGGTCGTGGACGTGGACGTGGACGTGGACCGAGTCGTGGACGTGGACGTGGACGTGGACGTGGACGTGGACGTGGACTGGACGTGGACGTGGACTGGACGTAGACGTGGACGTGGACTGGACGTGGACGTGGACTGGACGTGGACGTGGACGTGGACGTGGACGTGGACGTGGACGTGGACGTGTACGTGGACGTGGACGTGGACGTGGACGTGGACGTAGACGTGGACGTGGACGTGGACGTGGACGTGGACGTGTACGTGGACGTGGACGTGGACGTGGACGTGGACGTGGACGTGTACGTGGACGTGGACGTGGACGTGGACGACGTGGACGTGGACGTGGACGTGGACGTGGACGTGGACGTGGACGTGGTCGTGGACGTGGACGTGGTCGTGGACGTGGACGTGGTCGTGGTTGTGGACGTGGACGTGGTCGTGGACGTGGACGTGGACGTGGTCGTGGACGTGGACGTGGACGTGGTCGAGGACGTGGACGTGGACGTGGTCGTGGACGTGGTCGTGGTCGTGGACGTGGTCGTGGTCGTGGACGTGGACGTGGACGTGGACGTGGACGTGGACGTGGAGGTGGACGTGGACGTGGACGTGGAGGTGGACGTGGACGTGGAGGTGGACGTGGACGTGGACGTGGACGTGGAGGTGGAGGTGGACGTGGACGTGGAGGTGGACGTGGAGGTGGACGTGGAGGTGGACGTGGACGTGGACGTGGACGTGGACGTGGACGTGGACGTGGACGTGGACCTGGGTGGACGTGGACGTGGACGTGGACGTGGACGTGGACGTGGACGTGGACGTGGTCGTGGACGTGGTCGTGGTCGTGGACGTGGACGTGGTCGTGGACGTGGACGTGGACGTGGACGTGGACGTGGAGGTGGAGGTGGACGTGGAGGTGGAGGTGGACGTGGAGGTGGAGGTGGACGTGGAGGTGGAGGTGGAGGTGCACGTGGAGGTGGACGTGGAGGTGGACGTGGAGGTGGACGTGGACGTGGACGTGGACGTGGACGTGGACGTGGACGTGGACGTGGACGTGGACATGGGTGGACGTGGACGTGGACGTGGACGTGGACGTGGACGTGGTCGTGGACGTGGTCGTGGTCGTGGTCGTGGACGTGGACGTGGTCGTGGTCGTGGACGTGGACGTGGACGTGGACGTGGACGTGGACGTGGACGTGGACGTGGACGTGGACATGGACATGGTCGTTGACGTTGACGTGGACGTGGACGTGGACATGGACGTGGACGACTTGGACGTGGACCTGGACGTGGACGTGGACGTGGACGTGGACGCGGACGTGGACGTGGACGCGGACGTGGACGTGGACGTGGACGTGGTCGTGGACGTGGACGTGGACGTGGACGTGGACGTGGACGTGGACGTGGACGTGGTCGTGGACGTGGACGTGGACGTGGACGTGGACGTGGACGTGGACGTGGACGTGGACGACTTGGACGTGGACGTGGACGACTTGGACGTGGACATGGACGTGGACGTGGACGTGGTCGTGGACGTGGTCGTGGACGTGGACATAGACGTGGACGTGGACTTGACGTGGACGTGGACGTGGACGTGGACGTGGACGTGGACATGGACGTGGACGTGGACGTGGACGTGGACGTGGACATGGACATGGTCGTTGACGTTGACGTGGACGTGGACGTGGACGTGGACATGGACGTGGACGTGGACATGGACGTGGACATGGACGTGGACGTGGACGTGGACGTGGACGTGGACATGGACGTGGACGGGGACGTGGACATGGACGTGGACGTGGACGTGGACGTGGACGTGGACATGGACGTGGAGGACTTGGACGTGGACATGGACGTGGACATGGACGTGGACGTGGACGTGGACATGGACGTGGACGCGTGGACGTGGACATGGACGTGGACATGGACGTGGACGTGGACGTGGACGTGGACGTGGACATGGACGTGGACGTGGACGTGGACGTGGACGTGGACGTGGACGTAGACGTGGACATGGACGTGGACGTGGACGTGGACGTGGACGTGGACTTGGACGTAGACGTGGACGTGGACGTGGACGTGGAGGACTTGGACGTGGACGTGGACGTGGACGTGGACGTGGACGTGGTCGTGGACGTGGACGTGGACATCAACGTGGACGTGGACGTGGACGTGGACATCAACGTGGACGTGGACGTGGACGTGGACGTGGACGTGGACGTGGACATGGACGTGGACGTGGACGTGGACGTGGACGAGGACATGGACGTGGACATGGACGTGGACGTGGACGTGGACATGGTCGTGGACGTGGACATGGACGTGGACGTGGACGTGGACGTGGACGTGGACGTGGACGTGGAGGACGTGGTCGTGGACGTGAACGTGGACGTGGACATGGTCGTTGACGTGGACGTGGACGTGGACGTGGACGTGGACGTGGACATGGACGTGGACGTGGACGTGGACGTGGACATGGACATGGTCGTTGACGTTGACGTGGACGTGGACGTGGACGTGGACGTGGACGTGGACATGGACGTGGACATGGACGTGGACGTGGACGTGGACGTGGACATGGACGTGGACGGGGACGTGGACATGGACGTGGACGTGGACGTGGACGTGGACATGGACGTGGAGGACTTGGACGTGGACATGGACGTGGACATGGACGTGGACGTGGACGTGGACATGGACGTGGACGCGTGGACGTGGACATGGAGGTGGACATGGACGTGGACGTGGACGTGGACGTGGACGTGGACGTGGACATGGACGTGGACGTGGACGTGGACATGGACGTGGTCGTGGACGTGGACGTGGTCGTGGACGTGGACGTGGACGTGGACGTGGACGACTTGGACGTGGACGTGGACGTGGACGTGGACGACGTGGACGTGGACATGGACGTGGACGTGGACGTGGAGGACTTGGACGTGGACGTGGACGTGGACGTGGTCGTGGACATGGACGTGGACGTGGTCGTGGACGTGGACGTGGACGTGGACATGGACGTGGACATGGACGTGGACGTGGACGTGGACGTGGACATGGACGTGGACGGGGACGTGGACATGGACGTGGACGTGGACGTGGACGTGGACATGGACGTGGAGGACTTGGACGTGAACATGGACGTGGACATGGACGTGGACGTGGACGTGGACATGGACGTGGACGCGTGGACGTGGACATGGAGGTGGACATGGACGTGGACGTGGACGTGGACGTGGACGTGGACGTGGACATGGACGTGGACGTGGACGTGGACATGGACGTGGTCGTGGACGTGGACGTGGTCGTGGACGTGGACGTGGACGTGGACGTGGACGACTTGGACGTGGACGTGGACGACGTGGACGTGGACATGGACGTGGACGTGGACGTGGAGGACTTGGACGTGGACGTGGACGTGGACGTGGTCGTGGACATGGACGTGGACGTGGACATGGACGTGGACGTGGACATCGACGTGGACGTGGACGTGGACGTGAACGTGGACGTGGACATGGACGTGGACGTGGACGTGGACGTGGACATGGACGTGGACGTGGACATGGACGTGGACATGGTCGTGGACGTGGACATGGACGTGGACGTGGACGTGGACGTGGACGTGGACATGGTCGTGGACGTGGACATGGACGTGGACGTGGACGTGGACGTGGACGTGGACGTGGAGGACGTGGTCGTGGACATGGACGTGGACGTGGACGTGGAATTGGAGGACGTGGTCGTGGATGTGGACGTGGACGTGGTCGTGGACGTGGACGTGGACGTGGACGTGGACGTGGACGTGGACATGGACGTGGACGTGGACGTGGACATGGACGTGGACGTGGACGTGGACGTGGTCGTGGACGTGGACATGGACGTGGAGATGGACGTGGACGTGGACATGGACGTGGACGTGGACATGGACATGGAAATGGACGTGGACGTGGACGTGGAGGACTTGGACGTGGACATGGACGTGGACGTGGACGTGGACGTGGACGTGGACGTGGACGTGGTCGTGGACGTGGACGTGGACATGGACATGGACGTGGACATGGACGTGGACGTGGACGTGGACGTGGACGTGGACGTGGTCGTGGACGTGGACGTGGACAGGGACGTGGACGTGGACGTGGACGTGGTCGTGGACGTGGACGTGGACGTGGACATGGACGTGGAGGTGGACGCGGACGTGGACGTGGTCGTGGACGTGGACGTGGACGTGGACGTGGACATGGACATGGACGCGGACGTGGACGTGGACGTGGACATGGATATGGACATGGACATGGACATGGACATGAACGTGGACGTGGACGTGGACATGGACATGGACGTGGACATGGACGTGGACGTGGACATGGACATGGACATGGACGTGGACGTGGACGTGGACATGGACATGAACGTGGACGTGGACGTGGACGTGGACATGGACATGGACGAGGACGTGGACGTGGACGTGGACGTAGACGTGGACGTAGACGTGGACGTGGACGTGGACATGGACGTGGACGTGGACGTGGACGTGGACATGGACGTGGACGTGGACATGGACGTGGACGTGGACGTGGACGTGGACATGGACGTGGACGTGGACGTGGTCGACTTGGACATGGACGTGGACGTGGACGTGGTCGACTTGGACGTGGACATGGACGTGGACGTGGACGTGGACGTGGACGTGGACGTGGACGTGGACGTGGACGTAAACGTGGACATGGTCGTGGACGTGGACGTGGACGTGGACATGGACGTGGACGTGGACATGGACATGGACGTGGACGTGGACGTGGACGTGGAGGAATGGACGTGGACGTGGACGTGGACGTGGACGTGGTCGTGGACGTGGACGTGGACATGGACATGGACGTGGACATGGACGTGGACGTGGACGTGGATGTGGACGTGGACGTGGACGTGGACATGGACAGGGACGTGGACGTGGACGTGGACATGGACGTGGACGTGGACATGGACATGGACATGGACGTGGACGTGGACATGGACATGGACGTGGACGTGGACGTGGACGTGAACGTGGACGTGGACATGGTCGTTGACGTGGACGTGGACGTGGACATGGTGTGTTCAACCCACCGTGTGTTCAACCCACCGTATGTTCAACCCACCGTGTGTTCAACCTATCGTGTGTTCAACCCACCGTGTGTTCCACCCACTGTGTGATCAACCCACCGTGTGTTCAACCCATCATGTGTTCAACCCACCCTGTGTTCAGCGCACCGTGTGTTGAACCCGCCGTGTGTTCAACCCACCGTGTGTTCAACGCACCGTGTGTTCAACCCACCGTTTGTTCAACCCACCGTGTGTTCAACCCACCTTGTGTTCAACCCACCGTGTGTTCCACCCACCGTGTGTTCAACGCACTGTGTGTTGAACGCACTGTGTGTTCAACCCATTGTGTGATCAGCCCACCGTATGTTCAACCCACTGTGTGTTCAACCCACCGTGTGTTCCACCCACCGTGTGTTCAACGCACGGTGTGTTGAACCCACCATGTTTTGAACCCACCGTGTGTTCAACACACCGTGTGTTCAACCCACCCTGTGTTCTACCCACCGTGTGTTCAACCCACCGTGTGTTCAACGCACCGTGTGTTGAACCCATCGTGTGTTGAACCCACCGTGTGTTCAACCCACCGTGTGTTGCACCCACCGTGGGTTCAACCCACCGTGTGTTGAACCCACCGTGTGTTCAACCCACCGTGTGATCAGTCCACCGTATGTTCAACCCACCGTGTGTTCAACCCACCGTGTGTTCCACCCACTTTGTGTTCAACGCACCGCGTGTTGAACCCACCATGTTTTGAACCCACCGTGTGTTCAACCCACCGTGTGTTCAAGCCACCATGTGTTCCACCCACCGTGTGTTCAACGCACCGTGAGTTGAACCGACCGTGTGTTCAACCCACCGTGTGTTCAACCCACCATGTGTTCCACCCACCGTGAGTTGAACCCACCGTGTGTTCAACCCACCGTGTGTTCAACCCACCGTCGCTCAGCCCCATGTCGACGAAGACCGATTTCGTCCCCATCAGGTGGTGGGAGCACCCGCTGTCGAGCAGCACCGCCATCGGGTTGGCCTGCACAGCTGCTGCCACCGCCTGGCGAGACCATCGGCTCCACCACGCCGACCATCGAGCACGACGCCTCCCCGTCGCCTCGGCTCTTGCCGCTGGAGCTGTCGACGTCCTTCGTCGAGGACGTTTTCTTCGACGCTTGCTTCTCCTTGCGCGACTTCTCAACTCGACGGGGGCGACGACTGGCCGATCGACCGTGGCCTTCCTTGTTGTCGTCCTCGTCGCTGTCATCGCGGTCGGGGCATTCGAAGGAGAGATGGTCGGGGTCGCCGCAGATCCAGCACTCCCGCCGTCGACCACCACCTCGTCGACCCTTGTCCCGCGTTGACCTCTTCTCGTCGACGTCCTTTGTCGACCGCCCACTTCCGCTACCACCTCCGCCTTGTTTCCCGCGCTGCTCCTGCTGATAATTCGGCTTCGTCGGTGCATCATAACTCGCCTGCGGAAGGAACTCCGTGGGCTGTTCTGCCTCCTGCATCGCCTCATCCTGGAGAATGTAGCTGGTGATGGAGTCCTCGTCGAGGGACTCACGAGTGCCGGGCACCATCATCATCCTCTTCATGAGATTGTAGCTGCGCGGCAAGCCCTTGACGATGTGGGTGATGTAGGACGCCGTCGAGTATTCGGCGCCCGCCATTCGCATTTCGCTTCTGGACCAGGCAAGCTCTTGGACCAGGCAAGCTCCTGGACCAGGCAAGCTCTTGGAATAGGCAAGCTCTTGGACCAGGCAAGCTCTTGGACAAGGCACGCTCCTGGACCAGGCAAGCTCTTGGACCAGGCACACTCCTGGACCAGGCACGCTCCTGGACCAGGCACGCTCCTGGACGAGGCACACTCCTGGACCAGGCACACTCCCGGACCAGGCAAGCTCCTGGACCAGGCACGCTCCTGGACCAGGCAAGCTCCTGGACCAGGCAAGCTCTTGGACCAAGCAAGCTCCTGGACCAGGCAAGCTCCTGGACCAGGCACGCTCCTGGACCAGGCACACTCCTGGACCAGGCACACTCCTGGACCAGGCACACTCCTGGACCAGGCACGCTCCTGGACCAGGCAAGCTCGTGGACCAGGCAAGCTCTTGGACAAGGCACGCTTCTGGACCAGGCAAGCTCATGGACCACGCACACTCCTGGACCAGGCACGCTCTTGGACAAGGCAAGCTCCTGAACCAGGCAAGCTCCTGGACCAGGCAAGCTCCTAGAACATGCAAGCTCCTGGACCAGGCAAGCTCCTAGAAAATGCAAGCTCCCTAACCAGGCAAGCTCCTGGACTAGGCAAGCTCTTGGACCAGGAAAGCTCCTGGACCAGGCAAGCTCCTCGACCAGGCAAGGTAACGGACCAAGAAAGCTCCTAGACAAGGCAAGCTCCTGGACCAGGCAAGCTCGTGGACCAGGCAGGCTCCTAGATCAGGCAAGCTCCTGGACCAGGCACGCTCCTAGACCACGCAAGCTCCTAGACCAGGCAAGCTCCTGGACCAGGCAAGCTCCTAAACCAGGCAAAACTCGTGGACCTAGCACGCTCTTGGAGGAGGCAAGCTCCTGGACCAGGCAAGCTCCTGGACCACGCAAGCTCCTGGACCAGGCAAGCTCTCGGACCAGGCACGCTCTTGGACCAGGCAAGCTCCTGGACCTGGCAAGCTCTTGGACCAGGCAAGCTCCTGGACTAGGCAAGCTCTTGGACAAGGCAAGCTCCTGGAACAGGCAAGCTCCTAGACCAGGCACGCTCCTGGACCAGGCAAGCTCCTAGACCACGCAAGCTCATGGACTAGGCACGCTCCTGAACCATGCAAGCTCTTGGACCAGGGAAGCTTCTGGACCAAGCAAGTTCCTGGACTAGGCGCAAACCTGGACCAGGCACGCTCCTGGACAAGGCAAGCTCCTGGACCAGGCAAGCTCCTAGACCCGGCATGCTCCTGGACCAAGCAAGCTCTTGGACCAGGCAAGCTCTTGACGAGGCAAGCTCTTGGACCACGCAAGCTCCTGGACCACGCACGCTCCTGGACCAGGCAAGCTCCTAGACCAGGCAAGCTCTTGGACTAGGCACGCTCCTAGACCAGGCATGCTCTTGGACCAGGCAGGCTTCTGGACCAAGCAAGTTCCTGGACCAGGCATACTTCTAGACTAGGCACGCTCTTGGACAAGGCAAGCTCCTGGACCAGGCAAGCTCCTGGACCACGCAAGCTTTGGGACCAGGCAAGCTCCTGGACCAGGCACGCTCATGGACCAGGCAAGCTCCTAGACCAGGCAAGCTCTTGGACTAGGCACGCTCCTGTACCAGGCAAGCTCTTGGGCCAGGCAGGCTTTTGGACCAAGCAAGCTCTTGGACCAAACAAGCTCCCTCGTGGACCAGGCGCGCTCCAGGACCACGCACGCTTTTGGACCAGGCAAGCTTGTGGACCAGGCACGCTCCTGGACCAGGCAAGCTCCTAGACCAGGCAAGCTCCTGGACCAGGCAAGCTCGTGGACCAGGCACGCTCCTGGACCAGGCAAGCTCCTAGACCAGGCAAGCTCGTGGACCACGCAAGCTCTTGGACCAGGCAAGCTCTTGGACCAGGCAGGCTTCAGGACCAAGCTAGCTCCTGGACCAGGCAAGCTCGTGGACCAGACAAGCTTCTGGACCAGGCAAGCTCTTGGACCAGGCACGCTCGTGGACCAGGCAAGCTCTTGGACTAGGCAAGCTCCTGGACCAGTCAAGCTCTTGGACCAGGCAAGCTCTTGGACCAGGCAAGCTCCTGGACCAGGCAAGCTCTTGGACCAGGAAAGCTCATGGACCAGGAAAGCTCCTGGACCAGGCAAGCTCCAAGACCAGGCAAGCTAATGGACCAAGAAAGCACGTGGACCAAACACGCTCGTGGAGCACGCAAGCTCCTGGACCTGGCACGCTCCTGGACCAGGCAAGCTCCTGGACCAGGCAAGCTCCTGGACCAGGTAAGCTCCTGGACCAAGCAAAGTCATGGACCAGGCACGCTCCTGGACCAGGCAAGCTCCTGGACCAGGCAAGCTCCTGGACCAGGCAAGCTCCTGGACAAGGCAAGCTCGTGGACCACGCAAGCTCTTGGACCAGGGAAACTCTTGGACCAGGCAAGCTCTTGGACGAGGCAAGCTCCTGGACCAGGCACGCACGTGGACCAGGCACGATCTTGGACCAGGCAATCACTTGGACCAGGCAAGCTCCTGGACCATGCAATCTCTTGGACTAGGGACGCTCCTGGACCAAGCAAGCTCTTGGATCAGGCAAACTTCTGGACCAAGGAGATCCTGGACCAGGCAAGCTCCTTGACCAGGCAAGCTTTTGGACCAGGCACGCTTCTGAACCAGGCAAGCTCCTGGACCAGGCAAGCTCCTGGACCAGGCAAGCTCCTGGACCAGGCAAGCTCCTGGACCAGGCAAGCTCCTGGACAAGGCAAGCTCCTGGACCTCGCAAGCTCTTGGACCAGGCATGCTCGTGGACCTGGCACGCTCTTGGACCAGGCAGGCTTCTGGACCAAGCAAGCTCTTGGACCACGCAAGCCCCTGGACCAGGCAAGCTTGTGGACCAGGCAGGCTCCTAGACCAGGCAAGCTTCTGGACCAGGCACACTCGTGGACCAGGCACGCTCCTGGACCAGGCAAGCTCTTGGCCCAGGCACGCTCTTGGACCAGGCAAGTTCTTGGACCATGGAAGCTTCTGGACCAGGCACGCTCGTGGACCAGGCACGCTCCTAGCCTAGGCACGCTCCTGGAACAGGCAACCTCATGGACCAAGCACGCTCCTTGACCAGGCAAGCTCCCGGACGAGGCAAGCTCCTAGACCATGCAAGCTCTTGGACCAGGCACACTCCTTGACCAGGCAAGCTCTGGGACCAGGCACGCTTCTGGACCAAGCAAGCTCCTGGACCACGCAAGCTCTTGGACCAGGCAGGCATCTAGACAAAGCAAGCTCCTGGACCTGGCAAGCTCCTGGACCATGCAAGCTTCTGGACAAGGCAAGCTCCTGGACCAGGCAATCTCTTGGACCAGGCAAGCTCCTGGTCCAAGGAAGCTCCTGGACCAGGCAAGCTCGTGGACCGGGCACGCTCCTGGACCAGGCAAGTTCCTAGACGAGGCAAGCTC